AACGCTGTCTGGATAGCTGATACAATCTGACTGGTCATTTCCTTCAAGGCTCCTTTTACTACATTGTAAATACCAGGTGAATTGTCTCCCGCATCGTTGGAAGAATTTCTTGTAGGAGTTGGTTGTTCTGTTAGATCAGCATTTCCCAGCCTCCTCCGTAATCCAGGTCTTCCAACATGCCTCACTGGTGTAGGCCTTCTCACTTCATGTAGACCTGCATCTCGCCTAATGCTTGGTAGCGATGGACTGCTTCTCCTATGGACTTCAGCTCCAACGTTGATTTGTAGTCTGACAGTACTTGGCATGACATCTTCCTCAGATGACCCAAATTCATTTTCTGTGGTTTCATAATCTGTTTCTCCTTCAGTGACAGTTAAGGCTTCAATGTTCATCTCATCATCTGTAATCTGTTGTATCTCCTCATGTTCAGCTTGAATTCCCTCTTGTCTAGATTTTCTTGAGGCTTCTTGTCTCCTCTTCACCATCTTTGTAGTTAGAGATTTTCGTTTCACTGGATTTGTGGTACCAACACTCCTTGGTTGGAAATACAAATCCTACCGGCGACGCCAAGTGTAACGGGTGGGGGAGCAACAATCCTCTACTACTATTGGGACCGCACTCCCTCACTCTATCTATAGGGGCTGTCTTATCTTTCGTGGCAAGGCTTGCGTTACACAGCTCAACCCGAGCTCAGGAGGGCTAGTATGGCACAATGGTTCAAAACTCAATACTCTTTAATCTTATATCACCACACACTAAATTATCTCCCTTTAATCAATGAACTCAGATAATACACCACTGCCCAAAACCTTAACTTCCTATTATTAACCCGCGCTCTCTAAGTTACACTAAATTTATAAATACACGAAATCTCTCAGTTTTTCTTCTCCATTTGTCAAGCTCGTTACAACCTAGACCTAAGGAAGTCAATAAAATTCTTGAATACTCATTTATCTCATTACTCTGTTCTTACTCTTTTATATCCCACAATTTCCATCTTGTTGGAAAATCACACTTTGATAAAACCTTGTAAATCTCTGTACAGTGTACTTGAAATGAGACAAAATACAGTTTTACAATTTATTATAAGAATTATCTCTCAAATGAACAATCAACAAACAAATTCTAAGCTCTGTCTCAGTCTGTCTATGTCACCTATTAGTCCTGACTTATCTGTCTAAAACCAACCTCAATTCAAATCACAAAACTCCTAATTCTCAGAACTTCCTCCCAGACCTCCTGGATGAAAGTAAAAACCAATAACTGAAACTTAATCCCTTAAACCTAATTAATTCCTAACAAATTTCAAACACCAGCAATTCCTGCAAATTTCCTAAGTCTGAATTTCAGTTAAAAACAGTAGTAAAATTTAGAAATACACTAGCTTCCTTAGCTAAATGTATAAATTACCTAAACAATTTCAAGTAATTCTAAAATTTAACAACAATTTACCAAATATTCAAACAACCAGCAAATTTTAACCAAGTCCAATTCTCAGTTAAAATTCACTAAAATTGACCAAAACTTCCTATAAAATTCCACAAATATTCCAAAAGTTCCTAAAAATCCTTAAAATAACCCTGACTCTTCTTAAACTAAAACTAAAAAGTCATTATTAAATTTAAATTCAAAACGCGCAACCCATGCTAACTCCTTACCCCTTAAAACACTTCTTCCCTAAATGAATCAACCTAGCAGAAGAGCGAAAATTCCTTGAATCTCTCTCTTTTATACAACAACATGACGTAATTGTTGGAAACTATTGGACTTGTTGGAAAACGTTGGAGAATCTCTCGTGACATTTCCCGTAAATTGCAAAGTCTATAGAAAAATCTAATAACTACATACAAGACAACTTTTCTGAATGAAAGTAATCTCCAAATACATCCTTCAATTAGAATAAGTCAATTAATCTCCATTTAAATCAACAAATAACAGAATTAACTCCAAAAAACCTAAAACTATCGTAACTTTTACGATCGGGCTCGACCTACACAATTTACGACCGCCAAGTTCGTAAACAAATCTACCAGTTTATAAACTGCCGATAATTAACTGAAAACAAGTTAAACTTCAAGAAAACATGATGTCATCTATAAATCTATGGTTCATCTACTACAGAAGACCAATTAAAATCCCTGAAACATGAAGTAAGCTAAAATAACACTACAACTTTACTACTGCTATGATCAGCTGATTTCTACGTAACTCAAAACATGTGCACAAACTATTCAACTCATGTAAATTACTTAAACTTGTCAATAATCACCTATCAACTACATGCAAAGCATAAATTAATACATATTCCTGCAATATCAGTAACTATAACACATAAAAATTCATCTCAACTCTCCTACAAATGTCAACAATAATCAGGTTCAATAACTCTGTATAAAACTTATCTGTCAAATCTCTGGACCGTTACAGTAATATTAAGAATGATCTAAAAAAAATAACTGCAAATTTCCTTTTTTTTCGAATGGTATATCACATATACTGCATGACACTCCCCCTCCGAGAACAAAATTTTGAGATTTCATGAGTAACCTTCTTAAATAAATATGATTTAACACAAATATCGCTTTTGTTATCCTACATATATTCCCTCATTTTGGCTAAATTTTCAAACTACTTTTTTTCAAATGTTTTTTTACATGAACAACATACTTTCTGGCTACAGAAGTTTGAATTTAATTTCTGCATTATTTATATCGTGTGACCGGTCAACAGGGAATGATTTCTTCTCCTTAGCTCCTGATCCCACCGCTGTATTTTCCATGAGTCAGTGTTTTTAGCCTTTTTCATATACATGTATTGTTTGTGAATTATTCTAATATCAATCAGTATCAGTATCTTTATTTTCATAGTTCTGACAAAGTGATTTTGAGAAGAAAAAAATAAATATTAGTAGATTCTTTAAAGCGGATTTAAGTGAATATATTCCTCGCATTATTAATAAGAAATTGTTTAATGTTATCCATTTACATGCATGAAAAACAAACAACAGAAAAATTATATCAGAAGGTTTTATACACTCTTGTGATATACATAAACTTAACATTGTCAAATCTTATGCATTAGTCTGTTGTTGTCAATACTTTTATCATTATGACACATATAGTGTTCTTTTAATGACACAAAGAATTGCGAACGATAGTATTGTTCACCTGCCTACCCTAAGCCAATTTTCAAAAGTTATGAAATTCGATGAAATTTAAATATTTTTTACAGAAAATAATATGGATTTTCAAAGAAAAAAACATTACGTATTTGGGAAAACAGAGAGATAACTGTAAAATGTTGGTAAAACTTTTTTATTTTGATATTTATATTTTTAAAACATCTTTTTTCAACGTGGCATAAAATTCCTTTTTAAGGTAATACGGACTTTTATTTCACAAATTCATACCAAAGCTTTTTTTTCAACTGTTCAAAGGACAAAAATGGGGTTTTTTCCCACCAATTTCAAAGCGATTTACAACTAAAACATAATATTTTATTAATATACGTATTTGTTTTATTAATTTGCCTTAAACGTCATAAAAGATATACGTACGAGGGTCATTCAAAAAATACGCAGACAATGCTTCTCATCGTCATATAATTATTACAAGATTATAGATCAACACATTTTCGTAAACGTAAACATTTATTTTGTCGAAATGTGAAGTTTCATTCCATTTGATGAACAGAACTCATGTTAGCCAAAATTTAAACTAACATGTTTTGTTACCACGGAGCACGGTTAACCAACCAAACGTTGTAACGTCAAAGACAACGTTGAGAAAGTTTATCAAAATTATACTAAGTTTCTTAATTTCAAACACGGTTTGTAGCGTCTTCCCCATTCAAAAACACATATCCATAACACTTAACAGCTAGTTTGCGAACAATTCTACAAATATAGCTTATAGAATAAGAATGTCATTGTTTTCGAATTCTTTAATTTACCATGTAACTCTATTAATTCTGCAACAGTGAAGCACACATCACGTTCAATGACGTTCCTAACTCTTTCGAAAATATTTTTAACTTTAACCTCTTTCTTTGCCGACAATCCATCGTCCGATTCAAACTCGCTACCACTCAAAAATTGTATTTTTTATTTAATACAAATGCAAAGATATTTTTCATACAGATCCTGGTTTATACGGATTTTTAAGCTTGTAGAAGAAGTTTCCCGAATGTAAAGTACAATTTTATTGCTACTTGCTGCTCCATGACGTCCTAAAACGTCATGGTTTTTTGCTTTTCTTAATCAAGTCCATATGTATTTAGAAACTGATATATTTTAAATGGAGCGACATATTACATAACCTGATTTTATTTTAATTAATACAGCAATACTTTATTTAAACATTTAAATTTTATTTCTTTTAAGCTCCATTTATTAGAGGTATGGCTGTAAATACTATAAAGTGAAAATTAGTAAATTACTCAATTTTGACGGTGCCCCGTGCCCCCATTTTTGCTGTTCTAAATCCTTGGTAATTTTAATAAATATGAAGATACATTCCAATTTTTTTACTCAAATTATTTGAATTAGTTCTTAAAATATTTGTACCAAATTTGGATATAATATGACGTTAAATAAAAAAGTTTGGACAAAAGTCTACGAACTTTTTGAATGACCCTCGTATATCTAAGTAATATTAATAGAAATATACAAAAAAAATATACAATTGTAAGTTACTTAATTGTTTAAATGCCTTTCACATACATCACATCATAGAGTTCTCATCTGTATGTGTCCTCATGTGTTTGCTTAAATCCGATTTTCAAAGATTTTCTTACACAAACACATATGTAAGGTTTGTCACCACTATGTATGCTACAATGTCTTTTAAAGTTTTTTGACCAACAGAATGCCATTCCACAAACATCACATATATGCGCATTATCATCTAAATGTGTCCTCATGTGACTCTTGAAGTGCTGTGAGTGTAAGAATGCCTTCCCACATACACACATTTATAAGGGTTTTCCCATGTATGTGTCTTCTTGTGACTCTGTACGTTTTGTGAGAGGTTGAATGCCTTCCACCACGAATCACAAATATAAGGTTTTTAACCTGTATGTGTCCTTTTGTGACTCTGTAAGTTATGTAATCTGGTGAATGCCTTCGCACACATATCACATTTATAAGGTTTTTCACCTGTATGCGTCCTCATGTGCCTTAGTAAGCTTTCTGAGAAATTGAATGCCTTCCCACACACATCACATTTATAAGATTTTTCACCTGTATGTGTCCTCATGTGTTTCAGTATGTTTTGTGAGAGGCTGAATGCCTTCCCACACACATCACATTTATAAGGTTTTTCACCTGTATGTAGCCTTATGTGTGTCTGTAAAGTACTTAATCTGTTGAATGCCTTCCCACACACATCACATTTACAAAGTTTTTCACCTGTATGTATAATTACGTGATCTCGTAGGTGATGTGACAGTGTAAATGCCTTCCCACACACATCACATATATAAGGTTTTTCACCAGTATGTGTTCTCATGTGTATCTGTAGTTTTCCTGGCCAGTTGAATGCCTTTCCACACACTTCACATTTATAAGGTTTTTCGCCCGTATGTGTCCTCTTGTGACTCTTCAAATAATGTGACTGGCTGAATGCCTTCCCACATACATCACATTTATAAGGTTTTTCACCTGTATGAGTCCTCATGTGAGACTCTAAGTGACCTAACTGGTAGGTTTTCTTCCCACATAAACCACATGTATAAGGTTTATCACCAGTATGTGTCCTTATGTGTGCCTGTAAGGTACTTGACCGAGTGAATGCCTTCCCACACACATCACACATATAAGACTTATCATCTGTGTGTGTCCTCATGTGTCTCTCTAGGTCAATTGTCCATATGAATGCCTTTTCACACACATCACATTTAAAAGATTTTTCACTGGTATGTGTCCTCATGTGTCTCCGTATGTTACTTGTCCATTTGAATGCCTTTCCACATTCATCACATTTATAAGGTCTATCACCTGTATGTTTTCTCATGTGGCTCTGTAAGTCCCTTGTCCATTTGAAAGACTTTTCACACACATCACATTTATGACGTTTATCATCAGTATGTATACTAATGTGTCTCTGTAACTCATGTGGATGATTAAACGTTTTCCTACAGATGTTACATGCATTGGGCCTTTCACTTTCACAAGCATTTATGGATTGTTTGAAATTCCCAATTTCAATTTCATTTACACTATAGTGTAAATTCAAAAGATGACTTTCTGGTCTGGATGCAAAATCTGCCTCTTCTTTCTGTAAATGTAACAGACAAATCAGTTGTAATGGTTTTTCAAGGTATCCAGAAGATACCAAGAGTTCCAGGGGCCACATTGTTAACCGGAGCAACTAGTGTCATGCTGATTATTTAACCAGATGTCCCCCTTAATTAGTAATTATTATTACGGCCCGACGCTACATGTGCCCCCGTGGTCGTAATTTGAACAGATTAGAATCAACAACACTACCTGTGACAGGATGCTTCCGCTTAAGTTTTCGCTTTTTAGTGGTTCTATTAAAGACTTTTTCCTATACACTAAACTTAACTTTTAAATGTTCACCTTACATTTTTTTTAATTTGAAAGAACACACGCATACAATGAATAATTTCTTTAATTCATGATTAATGATGTATATTTCAGTTTGATGTTGCGTAAAATTTCATGTGTAAGTATCACGTCAAAATTTTAGGCAAAGTGTCAAGAAAATGAAATACCATCAAATTGAAAATTAACACAAAACAATCTCTAAAGAGCAAGACCAGCAATCGCTCTAATTATTGCAAGACATCCAACCAACCAGTAATTTTAATCAATAATTAATTGTGCCATCATGACACAGGATCCGTCGATACTTTCATACTTGAATATTTTACTTGAAAAAAGCGATAAATGGTAATCTAACAGCCAAGTTATTAGATAAACGTAACAACTTTAACTTTTCTATTGTAAACTTCCCTTACTTATGCAAACATATACCTTCATCACCTACATGTGGCGTTTATATGTCTCAGTTAATTCGATACACAAATTTTAAGCATGCTCTACCTATGAAGAACAATTTCTAAAACGAGGTAAATTATTGATAAACAAGTTGATAAAACAAGAAAATCAGCAGTTTTGTATAAATTCATCATTTCCAAAGTTCTTGGTAAATACATGTACAATGACCTTGTCAGCAAATACAATTTATTATTGAGTCAAATGCTAACTTGCGTCTTTTATACAAATTGTTAGTCCATTATTTATACATTGAACTGACAAAGGATCTCACCTCTGATGTTTAGAGGTCTTTGTTTGCTCTGCTCCTATTTTGTATCTTATGGACTTTTATATTGAATTCTGTTCGTTATCTCCATATCTTTCATTAATCCAGGGCCCATGAAATTCACAGTTTTGGAAAAAGGACCATATAACATTGTATCTATACATGAAGTAGTTCATCTATCCTGGCCAAGTGGTTCCTGAAAGATTTTTAAAGATTTTCCCTATATACTCCTATGTAAAACATTGATCAGCCATTGTGACCCCACTCTACTCCAGGGGTCATGATTTGAACAAACTTGATTCTAAACTATCTGATGATGCTTCCACATGAGTTTCATCTTTCCTGGCCCAGTGATTCTTGAGAAGAAGATTTTTTATGATTTTCCCTATATACTCCTATGTAAAACATTGATCGGCCATTGTGGCCCGACCCTACCCCCGGGGGTCATGATTTGAACAAATTTGAATCTACACTACCTGAGATGATTTCACGAGTTTCATCTTTCTTGGCCTAGTGGTTCTTTAGATGAAGATTTTTTTTACAATGCCATTAATTTTTCACTAATTCATAATTATCTCTTCTTGGAAGAGGGTGTTGCCCTTCAATTGAACAAACTTGAATCCCCTTCACCTAAGGATACTTTGTGCCAAGTTTGGTTGAAATTGGCCCAGTTGTTCTTGAAAAGAAGAAGAAAATGTAAAAAGTTTACGACGACAATGACGATGATGACAACGCCAACGACAATAATGACAGAGAATGAACAAATTTTGATCAGGAAAGATCACTTAAGCCTTCGGCTCAGGTGATCTAAAAATTAAAGAAATTAATTGAATATATTCCACTGTAATTTTAAGATTAATATGCACATTAAACATTAAAAAGAATAAGAATAAAGGATAATCAGATATTTTTATGATTTTTAAAAAAAAACATGTTTAAGTAAGTAAAGTAACAGGGGCTAAAATATTGTCCGTGTACATGTACTTTGTTGGGAAAAAAATGTTCGAGTTTGTTTTTCATAATGAGTTATAAGAGATAGATTTAATTTTTCAAAGGCAATTTCACGCATATTGCAAATACCGATATAGTTGTAGGAATAATTTTTGTGTGATGCAACATTAATCATTTTTTAAACTTTTGAATTTTGGTATCTTTAGAAAGAAAAAAAACTTTGGGGATATAATTTGATGAAAGCTGAAACAATTTATTGACAATTATTTTTCAAGAAGAAAACAAATATATTTTTTGCGATTAGAATCGGACTAAGCGGTTTTAAATGTTGCCATGGTGTAAACCAACATCTTTTTATCTACAAAGGGAGTACAATATTGACAATCTAAATGGACATCTTATGACAGAACAGACAATTTAGGCCAAGTTTAAAATAAGGTTTGTTTGCTCTCTGTTTGCTCAGAATTAAAACAAGAGGCCCATGAGCCACATCACTCACCTGAGTAACTTGGGTGATGCAGATCTTTACCAGATTCCCCCTCTTGCTATACCTATCATGCCTAACAACCCCCTTCCCTTTTTTATTTTAAAACATTAGAATCTACACTACCCAAAGATGCTTCCACATAAGTTACAGCTTTCCTGGCCCAGTGGTTCTTGAGAAGAAGTTTTTAAAGATTTGTTCTATATTTTTCTATGTAAAACTTGGAATTCCCTATTGTGGCCCTGCCCTATCCCCAGGAGTCATGATTTTAGCAATTTAATATCTACACTACAAAAGGATGCTTCCATATAAGTTTTAGCTTTCCTGGCCCAGTGGTTCTTGAGAAGAAGTTTTTAAAGATTTGTTCTATATACATCTATATTTCTATGTAAAACTTGGATTCCCTATTGTAGCCCGCCCTACAACAAGGGGTCATGATTTTAACAATTTAATATCTACACTACCCAAGAATGCTTCCACATAAGTTTCAGCTTTCCTGGCCCAGTGGTTCTTGATAAGAAGATTTTTAAAGATTTGTTCTATATATTTCTATGTAAAATTTGGATTCCCTATTGTGGCCCCGCCCTATCCCCTGGGGTCATGATTTTATCAATTTTATATCTACACTACCAAGTTTGGTTAAAATTGGCCCATTGGTTCTTGAGAAGATGTCGTAAATGTGAAAAGTTTACAGACGGACGGACAGACGGACAAACGGACGGACGGACAACGGACAAAATGTGATCAGAAAAGCTCACTTGAGCCTTCGGCTCAGGTGAGCTAAAAAGACCGCAGTTGGTAAGAAAGTGAGACTTTTTTTTCTCAGAAAATTCAAATTCTTTGTTTCATTTTTAAAATCTAAATATCTGAATACATAAGAAATCTAGAGGTACTGTGAGCAACGAGCTCACTAAATAATACCCCCTGCTTCCCATATGAATATAATGGCAAGGTCCATGTTTTGCTGTAGCTGGGAAATAAAAAATATGTGTCAGATCAAAAAGAAAAATAGGGGGTGCAAAAATGGCAACATGTAATAAATATTCTGTGAAAGTTTCATTAAATTTCACTCTGTGGTACAAGAGGAGTTGCGGATAAGAGATAGGTACCCCAAAGCATAACAGACAGACGTACGGACACCTAGACGGATGGACGTACAGCTAGACATACAGATGGACGGATGGACAGACATACCGATTACAGTATACCCTCCCACTTTTTAAGCTGGTGTATAATTATTGTCTTTTGGAAGTTAAAATTAAAAGTTTTGAGTCAAGCAATTTTTATTATGTACCGGTAGGTAGAACAGAGCAACCAAACAAATTGTTAAAGCTGGCCTGGGGACTGTTATTACTACAGGACATTGTCACAAAAATTTGAACTTACCTTTACTGTTATTACTACGGGACATTGTTACCAAAATCTTGACTTACCTTCAATGTTATTACTACAGGACATTGTCACCAAAATCTTGACTTACCTTAACTGTTATTACTACAGGAGATTGTCACCGAAACCTTGACATACCTTCACTATTATTACTACAGGACATTGTCACCAAAATCTTGCCTTACCTTTACTGTTATTACTACAGGACATTGTCACCAAAATCTTGACTTACCTTAACTGTTATTACTACAGGACATTGTCACCAAAATCTTGACTTACCTATACTGTTATTACTACAGGACATTGTCACCAAAATCTTGCCTTACCTTAACTGTTATTACTACTGGACATTGTCGCCAAAATCTTGACTTACTTTTACTGTTACTACTACAGGACATTGTCATGAAAATCTTGACTTACCTTCACTGTTATTACTACAGGACATTGTCACCAAAATCTTGCCTTACCTTTACTGTTATTACTACTGGACATTGTCACCGAAATCTTGACTTACCTTAACTGTTATTACTACAGGACATTGTCACCAAAATCTTGACTTACCTTCACTGTTATTACTACACAACATTGTAACCAAAATCTTGATTTACCTTCAATGTTATTATTACAGGACATTGTCACCAAAAATCTTGACTTACCTTTACTGTTATTACTACAGGACATTGTGACCAAAATTTTGACTTATTTTACTGTTATTACTACAGGACATTGTCTCCAAAATCTTGACTTACCTTCAATATTATTACTACATGACATTGTCATCAAAATCTTGACTTACCTTCAATGTTATTACTACAGGACATTGTCACCAAAATCTTGACTTACCTTCACTGTTATTACTACAGGACAATGCCACCAAAATCCTGACTTACCTTAACTGCTTTTATTAAGGAAATTGTTACCAAAACCTTGACTTACCTTCACTGTTATTATTACAGGACACTGTCATCAATTTTTTATCTTACCTTTACTGTTATTACTAAAGGACATTGTCTCCAAAACCTTGACGTACCTTTACTGTTATTACTACAGGACATTGTCTCAAAAATCTTGACTTACCTTCACTGTTATTACTAGAGGACATTGTCACCAAAATATTGACTTACCTAAACTGTTATTACTACAGGACAGTCTCCAAAATCTTGACTTACCTTCACTGTTATTACTACAGGACAATGTCACCAGAACCTTGACTTACCTTTACTGTTATTACTACAGGAGATTGTCACCGAAATCTTGACTTCCCTTCACTGTTATTACTACAGGACATTGTCACCAAAATATTAACTTACCTAAACTGTTTTTAACTACATTACATTGTCACCAAAATCTTGACTTACTTTCACTTTTACTTCTTGTTGATGACCTTCTCCCTCAGGGTCAGAAATGTCAAAGGTCAACTTCTTTTCTACAATCAATACAATTTAGTGAAGAAATCTACAATTCCTTTTTTATTGAAAGAATGCATGAATGACAAATGAAGTACAGAAGATGAATAAAATACACCTCGCTTTGTGATTCGGTTGCACAGACCTCTGACACTCAAATGAAAGTCATACAGAAATGAACATATTTTATCTTCAAAGGGTTCATCTAAGGAAGATAATTAAGGAATTATTTTAAGATTTGTGTGAGTTATTTGTGTGTTAATCACACATACTTGTCACATAGGCATATTTCATGGAGCGTGCTAGCGCTGAATGAAAATTATGGATACGTGCAAGTCTGTGTAATTCACACACCAATAATTCACACCAAGTTTAAAAACATCCCTTATAGTTGCATTTTACATGTTTGGAAATGTCCAAAATATACACTACATTTAAATTTCTTGCTGTCCTATACTTTAACTAGCAGTGCTGTAATCTTATTGTGACTTCAAGTTAATGCGAGTTTCTACGTATATATTTTTATGCGTGAGTATACACAAAAATCAAATCAATTTCACAGTTGGCTTATTAGAAAAACACAGTGAACGTGAATATTTGCAAATGTAACATTTACAATTAGAATTTTTGCTATTTATATGTATATACATGTATATATACCAGTAGATTCTTCTCTCTGGTCAGATTCTGGATCTCTGGCACTGGATATAGATGTATCCACCTCAAACTCTGACATGGTCTGTTCAATTATTGCTCTCAAAGACCTGTAAAAGAATAAAGGAATACATGTAATTCACATTCTTTCCACGGGTAGTTACGGTGCCAAATCTGTATCAGGAAAGAAGAAAATGTAGGGCTAGACTGGAAATCAAACTCAACTCACAAGGTTCACTAGTGTTTTACCCATTTGTTTTAATTTGGCAAAAAATAAATCAAATTATTACAATTCTATTTTTTTAAATGTCACAATGTAATTAATTCATTAATTTTACCGATTGAGTACTGACTTAAGTGTTTCAATAAGGTCACTGTCAAAATTCTTAAAAGTGCTTTTGAGCAATTGAAAATTGGTACCTTTCAGAAAAACATTTTGAAATCTTTTTATTAATCCCACTGAACATAAATAAAATTTGAAAAAATGAAACAAAAAGAATTAAAGAATGCCGAGAGCTCCAGATAATTTTTTACCCCAAAGTGTATTTACTCCCTGATTTTCAAATCAATGCAGATTTTGATTTTCAATAAAATTTTTGAAGAATATTTTGTTTATATACGAGGGTTATCAAAAAGTTTATGAACTAGCGTCATAACATTAAAACCGCTTACAGCACATCAATGAATTTTAAATTATCTAGTTAGCATCATCTGTTCTATCTAAAGAATAAACCATAATTCATAAATTTTTATTTTTTGATAAATTAGTAATGTTTTTGTATGGAATGGTTTTTCCAGGCGGCGCAACCTTGAACACGACGTTTTGCGACCTATGTGTAACTGAGAAACAATTTCTTGGTTGATCATTTGACATCCATAATTCCCTTTAATACAAGTATGTGTCTGGACACAATTGTTCCATAAAATATGAAAATTTCATTTCATTCTTGAAACTCTACGAAATGTTATCCTAAATTTTATACGGAATGTCCAAACAAACTTGGCCTTAAAAATGACGTAAAAAGGGGGGGAGGGGTTCCGTTTCCAACATTCTATAAAGTTTTGCCCCTGAAAAACTGGTATAGACCTAAAATATGTTGAAACTGGCTTCAGAGAAATAATAATAATATGCATCCAGAGTACTTGTCTTTAATGTCAAAATAGATTCAGAGAGAAAAGGGATACAGAGTTTATGTCGATTTGCAGTCGAGGTATGAAAAATCAATCACGTCAAAAAATGACGTTGATCATGTGTTGTAGATATTAGACTTCCAAAAGCAAAATATGCCGGCACAATCAAGCACGGATCTCTCTCAATGCATTAATCCATTTGGAATATTATATTCATTGAAGGCCATTGTTCAAGATATTGTAAAGTCATATAAACAAGACGGCTTTAAGTCCTTAATCAGCTCTAGGGAATCTCATCAAAATAAATATATGAGATAGAAGATGCCGACATAAAAAAGCAATGATGTTGTCAGACGTCATGAAACTAAACAGCGACGGCGCCGGGTGATCATATAATGTCGTTTTCATTTTATAATAATTTGGCAAATAATGAACGAATCAGGCTAAATTTTTCAACATTTCTTTATTTTTTGTTGTTTTATCTTCAATATGAATTTTAAAAGCACAGACTACATGGTACTAATTTTATAGCCTCAGTTCACGAACTTTTTGATAACCCTTCTTATATATATAAATCAGGTTTTGACCTTTAATTTGATTTTGAATTTGTTCTTGGGAAGCATTCTTATTTGACAAGTAAGATTATACAGTAACCTTGAGTAGGTCAAGTTACCATTGAGTCATAGACACAGAAAACTTTTCCCCAATTTAAGATATTGAAACAAGAGTAAACTGAAAAAAAAGTTTTCATTAATAAAGCAAGTTGAGAGAAATCAACAATTGGCAATGAACCCATAATAAAAACCATTATATGCAAACCTTGTGCAACTGTTCTTCTAAATATGAAACTTTAGAGAATCTAAGAAAACTTTTGATAAGTAAATTCAAAATCTACATTTTTTGTATTACTAACATTAACATGTACGTATTACATTTATTACAATATCATCTTACATTGATGATACAAGCTTTTGTGTGCTCAAATGTAATCAAAGGCCTGAAGGGCCTGTGAGTTGACTCGCTTGAGTTAATTTAGCTTTTTCATACATCTAGAGACCATACCTTATATTCAGTTTATTTTGCATCTTAAGAGATTGAATATTATATGTTCGGTTCAAAAATAAAGTGTATATTGCTTTTCCTTTATATATACAGGCTGGCACTAATGGGCTTCCATACATATTATTGTGAAAATCAGCTCTGCAAAACTGTATTCTATAATGAATTTAAGCACACTAGCTGAAGTGGTCAGTGTTATGAAGTAATTAGTTCAAAGATTCCCACAGCAAATCTGGATTCTAAAAATAGATTTTTCAAGCAGACTAGCTGCAGCTAATGGGAGCAGCAGGTGTTTGTGTTAGGGAGTATTCTAGGTCAATTATAAATAAACTTCAGATGGGAAGATTAGATCCGCCTAACATGCTTGAACATATATTCATATGCAGTAATTGTACATCATACAGATATTTAATCAAAAATTTCTTTAAAAGCATGAAGATATAAATAATGTAACAGTATGAAATTTTATACAAATTTTACCTCCTAAGTTTATACAATTACTCAAACAAAAGCATTTTTTGCTAGAACTATCATATTTGGCGTATGGATCACCTTAATGAATGCGTGAAAAAATTTACAGTTCTGAAACGGCTATGTCAACAGGGAGTAGCTCACTATGCGAGCCAACTCAATTATGCCAAGTACATAGTCTTTCTACTTAAAGAAATTGATTTTAATCTAAATCTCTGATTCTTTCAAAGTGCGTAATTTTTCAAAGTGCGTTGTAACAGTGCTCAAATGTAATTATGCCACGTACATAGTCTTTCTACTTAAAGAAATTGATTTTAATCTAAATTTCTGATTCTTTCTCCCAAAATGGAGGTTGTTGTCGCAATTACTAGAATATTCCTGGTTATTAAAATGCTTAAAATAGTAAGTATTTCCTTTTAAGAAAATTCAAACTCTGAGTTTACCTCAATTTATATCATTAGGTAAATTCTGACCTACTTGTATTACAACACGTTGTACGCAGTACTTTTGTAGTGTAATGCTTATCTACGATGGCTAATGCACAACAGTATGTCCTATTTTAATTTTTCAGTGCGTATTTTGTAAAATTCAATGCGTATTCTGCAAATACGCACCTTATCTGGAGCTCTGATGCCTTTATCATAGGTTTTCATATTACCAAGTCATCAGGTCATTATACCAAAAATAAGGACATTTTTCCCATGTCAATTTAATCTATCAAATAAAACTTAATACATATTATTTTATTTAGCATTTTGAAATTTCTTTATGATTCTAAAAGAAAAAGATAATTATCATAGTTTTCAATAAAAATAATATGCAACTAAAACTATATACCCGGTATGTCATCAGGTCAATCAGGGCATTATACTAACAGGGCATTATACCGACATGTAAATCTTGCAGAATGAGATGTAAGAATATGCAGGTTTAACTTATCTCAGGTATCAAACATAGTTCGTCATTGAAATAAAATCTTTTTTTGTTACATTAGCAATCATATATTACCTAGTAAATCAGTAAAATGTGCTCGATTCGTGTGAACTGTTACATGTGGCTTTCTTCGTATAAACAAATCAAAATGTCGATCCCGACGTTAAAAGTGAACGCCCCCTTTGTTCGTTTTAGGTCTATGGTTTCTGTGAAATAATAAAAACAACACGGAGATTTAAAAAAAAAATTATAAATATGTAAATGAAACAATAGATAATCAATAGATATGAATTTGAAGGGAAGTAAAATAATTAATAGATAAGATAAATTAAATCAACATTGATCTGGCCATCATTTAAATAAAAAATACGCAAGGATATAATTGATAAAAAAAGATATAAAAAATAGGAGATCCAGCCCTCAGCTTCTGGCACCCGAGCTGAGGCATTAAGTGAGGGTTTCTATGGAAGTTTTACCTCAATATTTGTCGTATGTTTTGGGAAATAAATGTATAAAATAAAATAAATAAATATACGTTTGCTTACATTGCTTTGCCCTCTTTCAACTCAGGATCATTTAAAAAATGTAAAAAGTACATATAGAAGATGGGCGCATTTGGCGTGTGATCTGCAGGAATCACAATCGGCAATCCTCGGCTGACTCCGCTACGCTCCATTCAAACCTCGGATGTGATAGGTGGAGGAATACGCAACAGATCGCTACATTTCTCCGCCGGAAACTGCCTTGTCACTCATTTCATATTTCGCTCTGCCTAAAGGTCTTAGAAAAGGTTTCTTTATTAGTGTAATTCCTCGTGTTAATTACAAACAAATGTTAGTATTCTTTGAAAGCAAGAACACAGTGTTGGGCGTGCATCAAAGTAACTCGGATTTCAAAAGTATAATATTTGAATGAAATTCAAATAAGATCACATGACTGAATCAGCAAGATGGAAGATCACCTTTGACGTCCGAGGTTATGTGCGAGGTACGAGTCATCCGAGGAACTCCGATTGGCAGGAATCATTTGTACGAAACACTTATGTTTTAAATGTCCATGATTTGGTTGGCTGAACATATATAGCTGGTTAGATTTTACAAACACGTCCATAGATTTTTTTTTCATTTAGTTTGCAAGACTTTGTGAGATTGTAACATTTATATCCGTTTTTTCTAGGGGGTACTATAACATAGCAATGTTTCACAAAAAATAAACACCTAATATTTAATGCATAGATGCATGATACGTGTACATGTACATTATAGAATGGAAGATATGGAAGAATTGATTTCACTCGAGAACTAAACTGAACCAAAATTTATCTAATTCAAAATTTTAATACATGTACATCAGTGAAATACATAAAACGAAATTGACAAAATAAATGGTTGTTAGCATGTAAAAAAAAATAACGCCCCATGCAAGGCTCGAATCAAAAACTTTTCGCTTCGAGTGCACTGAGCAGGTAGCGCAACTTACTGAGCCATGAC